TACGTATTATACGATTCATAAATAAATGTAATAAAAGATAAAAAAAAAAAAAAAAAGAGAAAAGAAATAGAATAACAAAAATTAGACTTTATAATATACTCATTAATTCCTTATCGACAAATTCAAATAACCTTGTATTTTAATTCTTTTTATCAAATATTATTATGCACCGAAGAAAATATTAAAGTCTTATGCGATAACTTATTCATTTTGTAACTACGAATTTTTTCATTATATTGTAATTAAAAGTAAATACTACAATATAATATTATTTCTTTAAATACATAGTTCTTGAAATATTTAAAAATGCCAATTACAATAGTTAAGCCTTTAGATATAACTTCAAAATGCTTCTATACTATAACTAAATAAATACTTTGTTCTCTAATGAATCATAATGTGATAAATGTTATCAGTAAAAATGTATATCATGTTCTTGGAAAATAAGTATATGTTTTTTTTTTCAAAATTCAAATTATAAATAATCTATGCTACATTAATATTGCATATCGCTGTATATTTTATTAGTATGCATGAGAAATGACATTACGAAGTTATTCAGCTTTTGTTGGCGATGAGGATTCTCAGTTGTTCATAAATTTTCGATCAAATAGGAGTATAAATAAGTTTTGTGTGTTTAATTAATAAATAAATGAAAAAAAAAAAACTAAGAAATAAAAATTATGTATAGAATTAAAGTTAACCGATAAAAAAACATGAATATACAAAAGTGTCCTGTCAACAAAAGTCCAGAAGAATCGGCTAATTTATTTAGTATTTTAACTTTTTGGTTTGTTTCGATTATAAACTTATTTTGATTAATGTGAAATATATCAATCCTTCTCATTATTTCTTTTAATTTGTATACTGTATTAAATTAGGTGGCTCAAAGATATATTTAAAAAAGGATCGAAAAGGATATTAACGTTAGAAGATATTTACGATCCTTTGAAGTGTAACGAATCGGAAAGGCTTGGAGATCTGTTAGAAAAGTATAATCATTTATTTAACATTTCAATTTTCATTCAATTATCTTTATATTATTTTCATTTTCGTTGATAATGAAAAAGAAAATTAATTCTTTATACAATTTCGAACAGAGAATGGTGTCGCGAGTTGGAAAAAATAGAAGATAACGAATATTTATTTAAAAAATACGGTAAAAAAAAATGTAACAAAAGTACAAGGCCGTCCATACACAGAGCTATATTACGTGTATTTGGAAAAAAATATTTAATATTATCAATATTCATATTTATACAGTGTATAATATTAAATCTGTTACAACCAATTCTTCAAACATGGATCATTAATTATTTCAATGTTTCTTCAAGTTCGAAAACAATAACGAAGAAACAAGTTATTGGATATACATTCGGTTTGATCCTTGATATTGTTGCTACTGTTTTTGTTAATCATCATACATTTTTACGAAGTCGAGAAATAGGAATGCAAATACGTGTTGCATGCAGTTCTTTGATATACAGAAAGGTAAACTTATTATTGACTATTAAAGTAGATAAAAATTACAATTAGTATATCGTGATGGAGTATTTAAACGTTCTTTGATTGCTAAGTAAGTGGCAGTGAATTATTTTAAGTAAATAAGATAGGTATTTTAAAAATTTTTTTTTGCAATTCGTAATGTTTCTCAAATAAATACTTAAAGGAGAATTTAAACAATATCGTGCCTTGTCTCTTAATAATATTTTATCTTTAATAGATGAAGTATGCACTAAGATCTTATTATTAAATATTAAATATGATAAATATATTAATGTAATTATTATAGATATTACGGCTAGATAAAATATCATTATTGCAAACAACTAGTGGTGGACAAATAATTAATATTCTAAGCAATGATATGAGTCGTTTTGATGTAGTAAGTCCTTATCTGCATTACGTATATATTGCACCAATTCAGGTAATATACAGTTAACTTTTGAATACTTTAACGACTGCTAGCCTATAAATAGGCTTTTTTTTTGTTATCAACGCTTACCGAACCAAAATTTATTAATCAGCTCTTAGTTATCGATTGACATTGCGATAAAGAGTCACTATCAGTAAATTGTTATTAGAATTTTATTTAGCATCCTGAATTGTCGGTCAGACGTTTATATGTTGTTGAAACCCTAGCGGTCGGTAAAGTGTTAACATAGAAATAAAATATAATTCGATAATTGTAATGATTGGATTATAAAATTATTCAATAATTCGTAGTTCATAGCAACAACGTTAATAATGTGGTCAATGGTTGGGAATTCAGTATTTATTGCTATCGGATGTTTTTTATTGCTCTCTTTACCAATTCAAGGATATTTCCCAATACTAAGTAATCGTGTAAGAGCAAGTATAGCAGTATTAACGGATAAAAGGATACAACTTATGAGCGAATTTATAAATGGCATACAGGTAGTTCATTTTTAAAGATCAATATAAAAAAAAAAAAGAAAATAGAAAAATATTGTTTTTGTTCTAATTGATGCAAGTATTTGAATATAAAATGTGTTTTTATTGTAGGTGATCAAAATGTATTGCTGGGAAAATCTGTTCGGTAAATTTTTGATGGAAACACGTATCGCGGAAATAAAAAAAATTCGACTCGCCGCGTTAATTCGAGCATTGTCTCTGGCAATGTTAATTTATACTGAAAGAATCGCACTATTTGTTTTTATGGTAACGTACGCTCTTATAAATGGGACTTTAAATCCTGAGTATACATATCTTTTGGCAACATTCATCAACATAATACAATTAACATTATGCATGTTTACTCTACAAGGTTTAATGTTATGGAACGAGACTAAAATAAGTATCGATAGAATTCAGGTTCGCTTCATCATTTTTTCATTATAAATTATTAATTATATTCATTTTTAATAACAATAAGTAATTTGTTAGGAATTTTTAATGTTGGACGAAGTAACATCAACTACTGAAACATCATGGATGAAAGCGAAATATAAAAAACGAAGATATAAAAATGACTTAGAGAGTTGTAGGATCATTTTGAAGAATGAAGAAATAGGAATGAACGTCGAACCGATTAAACCGGCATCCATTCAGTTAATTAGGGTGTCAGCAAACTGGGTGTCTAATAAATTACCACCGACTTTGTGTAATGTTAATTTGAAAGTGGATTCAGGCCAACTTTGTATTTTGTTTGGTCAAGTTGGCGCAGGGAAAACGTCCCTTTTTTACGTACTTTTGAAAGAATTACCTTTGGGTGCTGGAACTATAAATATTCTTCGAAACACGAAAACAAAAGTGGAATCACAAAATGACTTACAAGACTACTTCATCGATAATTCAAATATTAACATTTCTTATGCCTCGCAAGAACCATGGCTTTTTGATGGAACCATCAAAGAAAATATTCTTTTTGGTCAAACATACGATGAGAGAAGATACATGGATGTAGGTGAACGATTAACTCGTTAAATTATATCAATTATACTGATTTGAAAAAAACAAAATAAAAATACTCATATTAACAATACACTTTTAGGTAACACGAGTATGTGCCTTGAATAAGGATTTTCAGCTATTACCACAAGGGGATATGTCTTTCGTTGGAGAAAAAGGAGTCATGTTATCCGGTGGACAAAAAGCACGCATCAATTTGGCAAGAGCTGTCTATAAACAAGCAGATATTTATTTACTGGATGATCCATTGAGTGCAGTAGATGCAAAAGTTGCTCGACATATTTTTACAAAATGCATCAGCGAATATCTTCGTGGTACTACGAGGATATTGGCAACCCATCAATTACAATTCCTTAAATCTTCGGATATCATAGTGGCATTGGATCAAGTGAGTAATGAATTTTGTTTTAGATTACTTTTTTTTTTTTTACCAAGGACAGGTTATTAGCCTCGCCCTCGAATCCACCCCTTCATCTGCGAGGCTTGGAACAAGTAATAAATTTCATTTAATACAATAGAACGATTTTAAATTAGAATATTTATTACAAAGGGTTCAGTCAAAATGAAAGGAAGTTACAACGAATTAATTAAAAATAACGATGAGTTTGCAAAAATGATCAGTCAGATCAAAATGAACCAAGAACGAAACAAACTCAAGGAGGATTCAGGTGAAAAACTTTTCGGTCATATCAGAGGTAGCATTAGAAGAAAGGCCTCTATTAAATCAGAAAATAGTTCAATCTTGGTAATAAATTTATCGTTATATAAATAACGTGGTAGAATTTAACGTGGTATATAAAATAAATTATTATTGTTACAGGAATCGGAATATGGTGATTATAAAATTGGATTTTCGGATGAACCAGAAGAATTAGTTCCAATAAACAATATTCCTTGGACATTACATATCCAATATTTACGATATGGTGCTAATTGGCTGTTTTTATCTGCATTTATAATAATTACAATTATATCACAAATTGCTACTAGCGGCACTGACTATTGGGGTTCTTACTGGACGAATTTAGAAACCTTAAGACAACTTGAAAATCAAAGTTCAATCATGAATAAAGGATATAGATTTTCAAATGGAGAAAATAATACGATGTCGAGTTTTCTATCGATTGATAGTGCTGGATATTTAACGACTAAATCTGCTATATATGTTTATACAATAATTATTATTATTTGTACAGTTCTAATCCTATTACGCAACATTTATTTTATGGAACTTTGCACGATCGCTTCTCGTAAAATTCATGATATAACATTTAACAATATTTTACGAACTAATATGCGTTTTTTCCATATGAATCCTTCCGGTAAGTAAATTTGGAATTTATAATATTAAATAGAACGATTTTATTATATTTTTATTAATAAAATATTGCTTCACGAAACTTATATAGGAAGAATTCTGAATAGATTTTCGAAAGATGTTGGAGCATTAGATGAATTACTACCAAGGCCAATGTTAGAAGTAATACAAGTTGGTGTAATTAGTTGTGGTATTATTGTCATAGAACTGATTATAAATTATTGGACAATTTTACCATTTATTATATTAGGTGCTGCGGCTTATTTCGTGAGATCCTTATATACTAAAACCATACAAGGTATTAAATGCTGCGAAGGATTAAGTAAGTATAGGTTTAGTTTATTTCAATATTGTTTTATATCAAATAAATGATATCATATAATATTAAAATACTCTTATCAAGGTAGAAGTCCAATATATTGTCACGTAAATTCAACTGTAACTGGATTGTCAACAATAAGAAGTAGCGGTAAAGAGACACAAGATTTGTTGAAGAAAAAATTTGACCATTTACAAAATAAACATACTGGCAGCTGGCATCTTTTGATAACAACGTCAACATTTCTTGGTTTAATTTTCGACCTATTGTCAAGCATTTTTATAGCTTCTATTTGTTTTGGTTTTATACTTATAAAAAAAGGTATTGAACAATATAATTATTCTTAACGATGATAAATAAATTGTATTCTAAATCAAATGTTATATTATTGTTTGTGTTTCAGATAGCATATTAGGTGGAGAAGTAGGTTTGGCGATATCACAATCCCTTATTATAATTGGCATGTTTCAATATGGTATAAAACAATCTGTCGAAGTATTCATTCAAATGTCATCTGTAGAAAGAATTTTCCAATATACTGATCTTCCTAAAGAAGAATCTTTGAAACCMACGAATCCTGTACCACCGACATGGCCAACGCAAGGCCAAATAATATTTAAAAATGTTTATATGAGGTACAATTCAAATGAGCCACCTGTTTTAAAGGTAATAAAGCTTTTTCAAATATTCAGTAAATAATATTACAATGTACATAACAAAACATTTCTCTTGCTGATCAGAATCTAACAGTTACGATAGAAGCAGGATGGAAAGTTGGTATCGTTGGAAGAACAGGTGCTGGAAAATCTTCATTAATAAGTGCACTCTTTCGTCTTTTTTCCGAGGGTCTAGATGGAGAGATAATAATTGATGGTATAGATACAAGTACAATAAGTCTACAAGAYTTACGTTCTCGAATATCCATCATACCACAAGAACCRATTCTTTTTGCTGCAACCTTGAGATATAATTTGGATCCATTTAATGAATACGACGATGCAGCTCTTTGGAATGTTCTTCGAGAAGTCGAATTAAATGATATTGGTATAAATGATCAAATTATTGCAAACGGTAACAATTTGAGTGTTGGCCAAAAACAAYTGATATGTTTGGCTAGAAGTATWCTRAGAAAAAATCGAATTATAGTCTTGGATGAGGCAACTGCAAATATTGATTCGCAGTAAGTGATACAACTACTAAGAATAATTTGTTCTTTTCGCAGAAGAATAATAAGATTATTTTTCAATTAATAAATTATATCTGATTAGAATTGTGCTTTTGATCGATGCTTTTTAATATTTATAAAAATATGCAGCTTATAAATGTATGTCTATTTTAGTACCGAYGAATTGATACAACGTACTTTGAGAACTAAATTTGCGGATTGTACTGTTCTTACAATAGCTCATCGTTTGAATACTATTATTGATAGTAATCGTATTTTAGTAATGGATGCTGGARAAATTGCGGTAAGAACAAGATATGTTATATCATTTTGATAACTTAGAATAAAATAAAGTTCATCATATTTTCATAATTGCTTCATTGATTTCATATTTTTATATGTACTTGCAGGAATTTGGTATTCCTTATGAACTATTGCATGATAAACCTAATGGTTTGTTTACTCAAATGGTGAAAAATACAGGACGTATAATGTCTAAAAATCTTTTACAGCAAGCAGAAATGGCTTACCGACGGAATTCTTTACAAAATAGTCTTAAATTATCTACGAGTTCTTTCAATGTAAATGACTTATCATTTCACGATAATGATGAATATATATGAACCAAAAGGAAGATAAAAGTCATATTTTTACTTAGTTTTCATTCATTTAAATAATATAAGGCTTATAAATATATTTATTCAAAACTCAAATTTATCGAGAACTGAAAAGAAGAAAAATTGTTATAATTTCTATTTTTTTCATTGTTTTTGTTATTAATATGAGTTTTAAATATTATTTAAATATACTATTCTAAGTAACTGTATTCTTTTGGAATCTTGTCGTCTAACTAATCGTAATATTGTCCCGAAGAACTCTAATAAATATTTATTATTTCGATCTTCCAATCATTGTTTTATTATTTAGTTTTTTTTTTAAATTTATTATTTATTCCAAGTGTTTTATTATTTACTTTCTTTGTAATTATTATAAATGTGGGCGCCTGTATGAATGCAACTCTCCAGACACACTTTGAAAATGTTGCCTACGAGCGCCATCTGTCGGGACGGAATTTTTGTTCTGCCCGAAAGATAGGCAACCCGTCATACATACGTGTATAAACAGTTTTGACTGGAAAAAAGTTCCGTCCCAATAGATGACGCTCGCAAGCAACATTTTCAAAGTGTGTCTGGAGGGTTGCATAGTATCAGGCGCGTACTTTTATAATTGAATTAATAATTAAATAAATAATTACAATTTAAAAGTACAAATAATATTATAATAATATTATATTATAAATTATATCATCGAAACTTGTTAGTTTGAAAGTTTTACTTCTAAATTGTGCTATATGCACACATTTTCTTTTTTTGTTCAAGGTTTGTCAAGTTTATGTCGAAATATCTTTTAAATTTCACGAACAGAGCAATTTTGTCTATTTTAAAGTAGGTTTAAATTAGCAAGAAAACGATTTTTAACAACTATAATTTTATTTTTTAGTTGAAAAGCTTGGTAATTGGAATAAGTGTCAAGTTAAAGAGAAGCATTTTTTTTATACATATAATTCATCAATAACTCCACAAGATATTTGAATACAGGTAACCCTTGAAAGGATACGTTCTGATCATAATTAATGGAGCATTAAAAAAAATATTATTTTAAAATTGGAAAAAACACTATGCATATATGGACCATTCATTTGTCCTCTTATCGTTAATACATATACACAAATAAAAGTCATGGATGTATACTATCCTATAATTTTAATGATAAATAAAATAAAGAACGATCGATTTTTAAGATTTACAAGTATCTGAACATACATACAACCAATCCGCTTCCAATATTTTTTATTATCTTTTTGTAGATTATTCTTTTTCACTTTACAGTAACACATTTTATTGTTACTTTATCACTTCGTGTCTAATTACTTTAGAAGAAGGAAAGTATTAAAGGCTTCGGTAACAACTAACAATTCTAGTAATCCTGAATTTTTTAGCCACGCAACAATCGCAATCATATTGTGACTTTTTTAAAAAAATAAGTATATACGTGAATATAGAATATTGTAATTTTACATGCATATTTATTAAAAATTATTTGATAAGAAAAAAACCAATGGATATAGTTAAGTGTCCCGTTAACAGAAGTCCAGAAGAATCAGCTAATTTATTTAGTATTTTAACATTTTGGTTAGTTTCGATTATAAACTTATTTTGATTAATGTAAAATTGATCAATCCTTCTCGTTATTTATTTTAATTTGTATACTGTATTAAATTAGGTGGCTCAAAGATATATTTAAAAAAGGAGTGAAAGGAATATTAACGTTAGAAGATATTTACGATCCTTTGAAATCCGACAAATCAGAAAGACTTGGAGATTTGCTCGAAAAGTATAATCATTTATTTAATATTCGATTGTTTATTAAAAATTTTTTTATCTTCATTGTCAAAAAAAAAAAAAAAAAGAAGAAAAAATGAAATGAAATCTTTTATATAATTTTGAACAGAGAATGGATTCGCGAATGGGACAAATTAAAATACGTCGAATACGTATTAGAAAAGGACGGTAATAAAAAATTAGGCAAAGGTACAAACCCATCCTTGTCCAAAGCCATATTTCGTATATTTTGGCGAAAATATCTGCTATTAACGACATTACTATTCCTGCAATATGTGATATTGAATACGTTACAACCAATTCTTCAAGGATGGATCATCGATTATTTTGACGTGACTACAACAAATTCAAATCCTATTACAAAAAAAGAAGGCATAGCTATTGCATTTGGTTTAATTATCAATATAACAGTATCTGTTATTATCATGCATCATGTAGCATTACGAAGTCGAGAAATGGGAATGCAAATTCGCTTAGCTTGTAGTTCTCTGGTATACAGGAAAGTATGTTAATTATTTCACCTAAAACGTATTATAATTTATTTATCAATATAACAGTATCTGTTATTATCATGCATCATGTAGCATTACGAAGTCGAGAAATGGGAATGCAAATTCGCTTAGCTTGTAGTTCTCTGNAATAAATTATTTTAATTTAATTTAATAAATTAATTTATTTATTAATTTAATTTAATTATTAAATAAAATAATATTATAATATTATAATATTATAATATTATAATATTATATATAATTAATTTATAATTAATGCAAAGTTATGTTAATTTTATACGATAAAGATTGATTTATTTTTATATTTTTTTGCAAACATGAAAAATAATGACAATGAAAAATAATGAATAATTTTAAGTCCATTGTCATGTATTATTTTTTTTTCCCTGTTTACGTAACTTTTAACGTCTTATCAGAAATAAATGGTTAATATATTATGGTATCTCTCTCTCTCTCTCTATTTGCGTCAGAGTAGTGTTATCATTTGACAATGTCATTTTAGCTAATGAAGTTAGGTATACGTGTTTTTTTTTTTTTTTTTAAATAAATGAATATTTCAACAGCAGTATTTAAATTAATATACGAAAATATTTCAGATACTACGACTGAGTAAAGTTGCCTTAACGCAAACAACTAATGCTGGACAAGTTATTAATATTCTTAGCAATGATATGACCCGTTTCGATATGGTACCTTTTTATTTGCATTATTTATGGATTGCACCAATTCAGGTAAAAAAAAAAAAAAAAAAAAACTTGAATACAAAAAATGCAATTTTCTTTTAATTAAAATTTGTCTATTATCTTAAATTGCTATAATTATCCCCAATTATACTGTCAGAAAAATGTTCTGATAATTATAACAGTGGATCATCATAAACAAACAAAAAATGGGCAAAATTAATTGAACGATTTATTGTGTGTATAAGTATTTATAACATCATTTTATAATTTATTGTTAGTCCACTGTCATAATTACCAGTACAGTTGTAATTATTGGATTATAAAATAATTAAACAATTCTTAGCTCGTAGTGATAGTCTACATAATGTGGTCAATGATAGGAATCTCATCACTTTTCGGCGTTGCATGTTTCATATTGATCTCTCTTCCGATTCAAGGATATTTTCCTATAATAAGTAATCGTATAAGAGCAAGTATAGCAACATTAACGGATAAAAGGGTAGAACTTATGGGCGAATTTATAAATGGCATACAGGTAGCTATATTTTAACGATAAAAATCAAAAGAACAAATAAATATTCGTTTAATTGATTGAGATATATTTATATATAAAATATGATTTGTTTCAGATGATCAAAATGTATGGCTGGGAAAAACCGTTCAGTAAATTTGTAATGAATACACGTGCAGCAGAAATGAAAAAAATTCGGCTCGCCACGTTAATTCGAGTATTGTCTCTTTCGATGTTAGTTTATACTGAAAGAATCACACTATTTTTTTGTATGGTACTGTACGCTCTAGCAAACAAAACTCTAAATCCTAAATATACTTATATTTGGTCTACGTACTTCAGCATATTACAGTTAACGATCGCTATGTTCTTTCTATTAGCTCTGATATGTTTGAGCGAGGCTAAAATAAGCATACAAAGAATCGAGGTTTGCCACAATCTGTTTTTTGTTTGTTTGTTTTAGATTAATTATTTGTTAATTAATTAAAAAAAAAAAATAACAATTCTTTCAGGAATTTTTAATGTTGGACGAAGTTTCATCAAACAATCAAACGTCATGGAAGACATCACAATACGATAATAAAGTAGAAAAATATAAAATCTTGTTAAAGAGAGAAGAAGATGTACCCAAAATTGAGGAAAACAAACTAGCATTCATTGAAATGACTAGAGTAACAGCAAACTGGGTGTCTAATAAATTTCCACCTACTCTATGTAATATCAATCTAAAAGTGGACCCAGGCCAGCTTTGCATACTATTTGGCCAAGTTGGAGCAGGAAAGACAGCCCTTTTACACATCATTTTAAAAGAACTTCCTCTGTACACTGGAAAATTAAGGATTCTTCGAAACTCTGATGCAAAAATGGAATCTATGAAAAACTTTAATAAATATTTCACCGCTAATCCAAATATTAAAATTTCTTACGCCTCTCAAGAACCGTGGATTTTCGATGGAACCATCAAAGAAAATATTCTTTTCGGTCGAGCTTACGATGAGAAAAGATACATGGATGTAGGTGAACGATTAACTCGTTAAATTATATCAATTATACTGGTTTGAAAAAAAAAAATAAAAATACTCATTTTAATAAAACATACTTTTAGGTAATACGAGTATGTGCCTTGAGTAAAGATTTTCAGCAATTACCTCACGGTGATATGTCTTTTGTTGGAGAAAAAGGAGTCATGTTATCCGGTGGACAAAAAGCACGCATCAATTTGGCAAGAGCTGTCTATAAACAAGCAGATATTTATTTACTGGATGATCCATTGAGTGCAGTAGATGCAAAAGTTGCTCGACATATTTTTACAAAATGTATCAGCGAATATCTTCGTGGTACTACGAGAATATTGGCAACCCATCAATTACAGTTTCTCAAATCAACAGATATTATTGTAGCATTGAATCATGTGAGTAATGAAATTGATTTAATTAAATAGAGCGATTTTAAACTAGGATATTTATTATACCGTAGGGTACCGTCAAAGTGAAAGGAAAGTATAATGAACTAGTTAAAAATAACGATGAATTTGTAAAAATGATCACTCAGATCAAAATGGACAAAGGACGAGGAGACAAACTAGATGATGGTATTGACATCGAACAATTTGAAGATATCACACATAGTATAAGACATACAGCATCTATTAAATCTAACAACAGTTTAATCCCGGTAATAAATATTTAAAAATAACATGTTAAAGAATTCTACATAGTATCTAATTGTCTATGATATGTCTTATATAGAAATTATTGTGACAGGAATCCGAAAAGGGTGATTATAAAAATGAAGACACCGATGAACAAGATGAATTAATTCCCAACGTTTCCTGGAAATTATATGTCAGATATTTTCGATATGGCGCCAATTGGTTGACTCTATTTGCTTTTATAATATTAACATTAGTAACACAATTATTTGCAAGTGGTACTGATTATTGGGTTTCTTACTGGACGAATTTAGAAGTAATAAGAAGTGTACAAAATCAAAGTTTTATCGAAAATAGAAGATATGAATATGAAAGCACGATAAATAATACAATTTTGTCAAGCTTTCTATACACAGATAATACAGGATTATTGACTACAACTTCTGCTATATATGTTTACACAATAATTATTATTACCTGTATAATTTTGGTCTTGTTACGCAGTATCTTTTTTATGGAAATTTGTATGATCGCTTCTCGTAAAATTCATGATATAACATTTAACAATATTTTACAAACTAACATGCGCTTTTTCCATATGAATCCTTCCGGTGAGTAAACTTTGAATTTATAATATATCATATATTAATAGATTATATTAAGTATAACGATTCTCTCATAAAAAAATACATTTTTATTAATAAAATATTGCATTTCAAACTTTTACAGGAAGAATTCTGAACAGATTTTCAAAAGATATTGGAGCATTAGATGAATTACTACCAAAGCCAATATTAGAAATCATACAAGATTCTCTACTCGGATGTAGTATTATTATAATAGAAGTAGTTATTAATTATTGGATAATTATACCATTCATTCTATTAGCTACTGTAGGTTATTTCATACAATTATTATACGTTAAAACTGTACAAAATATTAAACGTTATGAAGGAATATGTAAGTATAAATTTTCTACATATCAATAGTATTTTATCTAAAATAAATAAAGTATTATAATATTTCGATTTTAATTTGAAGGTAGGAGCCCAATATTTTGTCACGTCAATACAACTTTAACTGGACTCTCGACAATAAGAAGTAGCGGCAACGAAATAGAACATCTTTTGAAAAAGAAATTCGATCATTTACAAGATAAACATACAGGAGTCTGGTATCTCATATTAGCGATATCAGACTTTTTAGGTCTAGTTTTTGATCTATTATCTTGTCTTTTCATTGCCTTTATCTGTTTTTATTTTATACTCGTAGATTCAGGTATTTAAACATTCATTATTATACAAAATAAAACACTAAATTTATACTCTAAAAAATGCAAAAGAGAAATAAAAAAACACGGAACACAAATTTAATTATTTCAGACAACACATTAGGAGGAGATGTGGGTTTAGCTATTTCGCAAGCCCTTATTTTAGTTGGCATGTTACAATACGGTATAAGGCAAATTGTCGAAATATCAATTCAAATGACATCTGTGGAAAGAATTTGCCAATATACTGATCTTCCTAAAGAAGAATCTTTGAAACCCACGAATCCTGTACCACCGACATGGCCAACGCAAGGCCAAATAATATTTAAAAATG